GTTCAGACGTGTAAATATATACATTGTACACAACACAAGATTGTCAATTTTAATATTACTCACGTGATTGGGACAGTACATGACACAAAAGAAAGTTAACAAAAAAAATTGGACAGCCGCCACCATTTTGTAATTTTCTCTCAATAAGCCTACACTGTATCTCCACTCAAAACAACTATATTTCCCAGAAGCCAACAGTGGAAGCCCCGTTACCTTCTGGGAAATGGAGGGAAAGTTTCGATCTGATCTGAAAAAGTTCGGTCTATATTCATACAGTGACTTTGGCACCAAGCAGACGCAGAGATTCGCATGGAACAGTCTGGGAACCGGACCTCAAGATTCATCGGTGAATCTGAGTGCCGCCCGCCGGAGGTCTGGTGTTCTCGCTGGAGCCCACCAGGACTTCCCCCAACCAGATTTGGACTTAATCGAACCACTGTCTGGTCCTGTGCTGGCCATCTGAAAGTTCGGCTCCCTTCAAAATGTGTTTCGGTACTCAAGGGCTGCACAGAGTCCACCGGAACCGGAGCAGAACCAGACCTCCAGACTCATCAGTGAATCTGAGTGCCGCCCCACAGCCCACGAGGACTTTCGAGCAGGGAGGCACTGCTGGAGGTCCAGCATTCTCTCCAGAGCCCACCGGGACTACACTCCACCGGCAGGGTAGGTTTGCCAAAATGCAACAGTCAGACCAGAACTGAGCTGCTGTTCTGCAGAGATGATGAGTCAAATCTAGTAGCTTCATATACAGTACTGTACATATGTTGTTAAAATGATGTAGGTTTAAGAGTTTAGAACATTGCAAGAGTGTGGAAAGGTTTATAAAGCCTTAAAATATATTTAAATACTAAAATAAATATAATGTCGCTAGTTTGTGGATTTTCACTTACTGCACAGTGGGCGTGGGGTCTGGAACGTAACCCCCGTGATAAACGAGGGACTACTGTATTTATTGGTTCAAACGCAAATAAAAGTTCATCTTTTCAGAAAGCCCTTAAAGTCAAACTTTTGAAAGGATTTTAACATGAAACAAAAATAGTGATTAAAAAAAAATTCTAATTTCTTAATATACTGCTTGTTTTACTAATTTGGCACAAATTTATATATGTAATTTTAACATAGACAGATTTTTCTGTCCATTTTTTTCCATAACTCCAGTATTTGGTCAATCTATCCAAAACTTTGGGGAAGTTGTAAAATAGGGGAGTGGTGGCGCAGAGGTTAGAGAAGGTGGGCATGTGATTGGAAGGTTGCCAGTTCGACTCCCTGTACCGACAACATTCATCTATCCATTATCTTTTACCCGCTTCTTCCATTTGGGGGTCACTGGTGCCCATGTCCAGCAATCAATGTGCGAGGGGCGGGGTGCACACTGGACGGGTCGCAAGTCCATCACAGGGCCACATAGAGACAAACGAGACAAACCTCTCCTTTGAATTTGCTTGATTAATGTCTTGATTTTTTTTTAATTTTTTTTACTAAACCTGTTTTATAAACTTCATAAAATAATCTACATGGATTAAGGAAAAGTTCAAAGCTAATTTATGAACAAGTTACAATTTGAAGAACTAAACAATGACATACAAACTTATATATTTTTTATATACAATAGTCCCTCGCTACGTCGCGATTCGTTTATCGCAGGGTCGATATATTGCGGATTTTCAAAGTAAGATAGGACATGACACAATTGGCTGATGGATGTATGAGCCATGGGTTGTTTATTTATAATACATTATTTTAAATGATTTTGCACCATGTGAGAAATCCACAAGTGGACGGAAAAGCTCTCCCATGCAGCTGATCAGCTGATTTCCTTCTCTGTCACGCACACACATTTCTCCTGCTGTGGCTTTGTGAAGGGCTAACACTTTGCTGTCCAGATGCACCAATCGACTTTTGTCTTCCAACTTAAAATTCAAAGTGAATCACATCGTAAAAATTACCATAATCACAAAATATAAAAGTAATTTTAATTATTTTAGAACTTCTATGTTCAGTTGTTGAAGTGTAATTGATCAAGAAGTACATTTCTGCTCCGTGCAGAGCTGAAGCTGTGCGACATCCCTCTGATGTCCTGCTGCACTTCTCTTCTCTCCAATTTAAATTTAAATACTGTAATATTTCAAATAAACAATCCATAGAATCAGTTTTGTGTTGTGTGTTTCCTCGACTGATGAAGCCTTCCGGATCGAAGGCGAAACGTTTCAGCACAAAAAAAGAAACAGTCCAGATGACCTGACTGAAAAATTTTGGATTTTATACCTGGATTATTGAGCATGAACTTTGTTGTTTTCAACCAGTTTGACAAGACTGTCAACAAGGAAGAGGGCCGGCAATGGAGGAGGGGCGTACCAAAGAGACCATCTAATCACAAGCAGAACTGGTTTGTTCCACTTTGGAGTAAGCTGTTGGGGGAAGAATCAGTTTTGTTGTGTGTTTCCTTGACTGATGAAGCCTTCCGGATCGAAGGCGAAACGTTTCAGAACAAAAAAAAGAAACTGTCCAGATGACCTGCCTGAAAAATGTTGAATCCATAGATTGTTTATTTAAAACATTACAGTATTTAAATTTAAATTTCTTATTTATGGTATACAAGGAGGGAGATAGGGAGTAACAGGTGATGAGTGAGTGTGATTGCAGCCTGGCACATGTCATGACAAAGTTTATTGAACTTGAACTTGAACTGAACTCCGACTACTATGTCCTTACTTGGTGGTTTTTCACTTATCGCAGGTGGGTGTGGTCCCAAACACCCACGATAAACGAGGGACTACTGTACATATACTGCACTGCCAAAAGTATTAGCTCACCCTTCCAAATTATCAGAATCAGGTGTTCCAGTCTCTTCCATGGCCACAGGTGTATAAAATGAAGCACCTAGGCATGAAGACTGTTTTTACAAACATTTGTGAAAGAAGGGGACGCTCTCAGGAGCTCAGTGAATTCCAGCGTGGAACTGATAGGATGCCACCTATGCAACAAATCCAGTCGTGAAATTTCCTCGCTCCTAAATATTCCACAGTCGACTGTCAGCTGTATTATAAGAAAATGGAAGTGTTTGGGAATGACAGCAACTCAGCCACGAAGTGGTAGGCCACGTAAACTGACGGAGCGGGGTCAGCAGATGCTGAAGCGCATAGTGCAAAGCGGTCGCCAACTTTCTGCAGAGTCAATCTCTACAGATCTCCAAACTTCATGTGGCCTTCAGATTGGCTCATGAACAGTGCACAGAGAGCTTCATGGAATGGGTTTCCATGGTCGAGCAGCTGCATCCAAGCCATACATCACCAAGTGCAATGCAAAGCGTCGGATGCAGTGGTGTAAAGCACGCCACCACTGGACTCTAGAGCAGTGGAGGCGCGTTCTCTGGAGTGACGATTTGCGCTTCTCCATCTGGCAATCTGATGGACGAGTCTGGGTTTGGTGGTTGCCAGGAGAACAGTACTTGTCTGACTGCATTGTGCCAAGTGTAAAGTTTGGTGGAGGGGGGATTAAGGTGTGGGGTTGTTTTTCAGGAGCTGGGCTTGGCCCCTTAGTTCCAGTGAAAGGAACTCTGACTGCTTCAGCATACCAAGACATTTTGGACAATTCCATACTCCCAACTTTGTGGGAACAGTTTGGAGCCGGCCCCTTCCTCTTCCAACGTGACTGTGCACCAGTGCACAAGGCAAGGTCCATAAAGACATGGATGGCAGAGTCTGGTGTGGATGAACTTGACTGGCCTGCACAGAGTCCTGACCTCAACCCAACAGAACACCTTTGGGATGAATTAAAGCGGAGACTGAGAGCCAGGCCTTCTCATCCAACATCAGTATGTGACCTCACAAATGCGCTTCTGGAAGAATGGTCAAAAATCCTAATAAACACACTCCTAAACCTTGTGGACAGCCTTCCCAGAAGGTTTGAAGCTGTTCTAGCTGCAAAGGGTGGACCAACATCATATTGAACCTTATGGATTAAGAATGGGATGTCACTTAAGCTCATATGCGAGTCAAGGCAGGTAAGCGAATACTTTTGGCAAGGTAGTGTAATTTAGGATTTGTTGGACTATTTTTAATTTAAGACAAAGTTTCAGAGATTCACCAAACAAAGCAAACTATTTTGAAATGACGTTGCAGACCTGCTACAAAAACTGTCCTTTTGAGCTCATGTTCCTTTATAGTTATGTGTTGCAAACTATTTTTGTTAACAAAAAGTAAAACAACAATAAATAACATCTGTATTTCCATAATCAATGGACTAATCATTTATTTTGCTTTATCTCCATTTCCATCTCAGTGTCTTCTTCTCCCTCCACCCCTCCGTCCTCAACTCTTCTTTTATCTTACAGAGTCTCCTTTCTTGTCAAGGTGCAATTATTTGCAATTTGCCTAAGTCATCCATTTGCCAGGAAGCTAAGCATGAAAACGAGGCAATTTGGTGTAAAATGGAGGCATGCGGGCATCAGAGCATACAGTAAATCTGAGTGTGTGTGTATGAAAGAGAGAGAGTGTGTGTCCAAAGGCAGAGGAAGGTCCGGGACCTGGCAGGGGGCTGTGCAAAGACTGTCATGCAAAAGTGAGAATAAATGTCATAAACGCACACACACTGAGATAAATACCTGAGTCTGCCCGTGTGTGTGTCTGAACCTACCAGTCTGCACACATGATGATATCAAAATGACCTTCTAGCGCTGAAATATCCACCTCACTGTCCCACCTGACCACCCTGTAACACACACAACAGACAAAAAGTTTAGTTTGCCCGCGTGGTGACAGAAGACAGCCAGCACTGATAAAACACCGCATGGAACAAACGCTCTTTGTCTTCGCCTTCTCTTCCTCCTCCTCCTCCTCGCTGCTCTTTCTCTCTTTACCACTTTGAGCTTCTTGCCGTCTGACACCTCACTCTCAGTGACCCCCACTGTTTTTCTGCCTCAGCGGAGACTCAGAGAAAGCATCGGAGAGGAAGACATGTCGTCTGTGAGGTAAAGCCAAGGAGCTTCTGACATGACACTTGACATTTATACCTTGTGAACACACACGCACGCACACACACAGAAAGCCCACCTTTATACAGGTTTCATTTCATCGCCCAGACTTTTCTATTCTCCCATTTTTTTAGGTTCGGATCATTCTCTAAGACTCTTGTTATACAAATCTACTGGCTTCATAAATATAATAACAGTAAGAAAATCATTATTTATGTTACATCACTGATTTACAACATATTCTTAACAAATCTAATGATTCACTCAAAACTTGCAACATCTGTGTCGTGCTGTGTGATAAATCTGCACATTTTAGAGTGGCCTTTTATTGTGGTCAGCCTAAGGCACACTTGTGCAATAACCATGCTGCCTAATCAGCATCTTGATATGCCACACCTGTGAGGTGGATGGATTATCTTAGCAAATAAGTGCTCACTAAATAATTTACACAGATTTGTGAACAATATTTGAGAGAAAAAGGCCTTTTGTGTACAAAAAGTCTTATTTCTTTGAGTTCAGGTCACGAAAAATGGGAGCAAAAACAAAAATATTGTGTTTATATCTAACAAGGTTGAGTCAGGTCCTCTGGGTGGATTCTTCTCTGTTGATACGTTTCGTCTCTTATCCAAAATACTTCTTCAATTTGACTGAAAATATCGTTTGGATAAAAGATGAAACGTATCAACAAAGAAGAATCTGTCCAGAGGAACTGACTCAACCTTGTTAGTTTTAACTACCTGGATTATTAAGCAGGCAGGACATGCTGCTTTTATATTTTTGTTCAGTGTAAATCAACCAAATTGCTCAGGGGGGCACAGTTACTAAAAGCCAACAGCTCAGGGGCTGGACATCCATCCAGCAATTAGTCATTATGAAAATAAACCAAGTACGACAACGATCGGTCATCTTTTAAATTTGTTCAGTTTGCTGCATTGAATCATAAATGCAACACAACCCAAAAGTGTAATTCAAAGAAATCACATTTCAACATTAATTTGCTTGCAAAAAGTAGCAATGTTCTAAAGTGAAACAATATTAAAAACAAAAATGACACATTATGTCTCCTATTTAACATAAATATTATTCTGCCATCTCTGATGGGCCAAATCTTTTCACTTTTCAAAATAAAAAAACATGTTGACAATTTTTGATGTTCGCTGAATGACCAACATTATAGTTAATGGTGGGTCCATTAAGAACCAGTTCTCATTTACAATGAAATGGCTGCACAGACCAGTTCTTCCTCAAACGGTTCATAAATCACAGGTGAAGCATCCACGTCCCGCTCAGATGTGAGCTTTGAGTGGAATCAAAAGAGGCGGAACAGAACTCAGCTGGGCTGACAGTGAGCGTGATGCGTGTCGCACATCTTCGTGTAATTTACTATAATGAATTAAATTAATTAATCCATCCTATTTCTGGTTAACTATTGTTCAAACTAACTGCAAAGCTGCTGTGCATCATCATCAATACTCCCTCAGTAATAAATCTGTTGTTTAATCTGGCTCATGGGCGACCGCACACTGATATGATGTTTATCAGAACTCACAGCGAGAAAGAGAAAAAGAGCGCGCAGCCTTGCAACTCTTGTTTCTGCTAATTTAGTTCTTATAATTAAACAATATTAACTAAAAAAAAAGATATTTGTAGGGCACGGATTAAAGTGAGGATGTGTGCCTCAATCTAACTTTATTCTATTTTCCTCCAAACTCTCAAAGTTCTCTCTGTGAGAATCCCAAAGAGACTGTATGAGCTGCAAAGCATGCTGGGTAGCGTTGTGGAAATTGCATTATATGTGCAATGTTTCTGACTGTTTATGATGTTTCTGGTTGTGGAAATGGGTTGTTCTTGATAATGTCCTGTTCAGTTTGCTTTAGAATTTATTTTGAAGTCTCTGTTATTGGCTGTAAACTGACTCCACGAGTCAGAGGTTGTTCCCGGTACATATAAGGCTGAAAGCACTGAGTGGTTTAGCATTAAGTATCCTCACTGAAGAATGTAGTCTCAAGGTGATGCTTGGCCTGGCCTAGCATTGTGTTGTGTAAAGGCTCCCACATACTTGGATGTATTGGCTCTTGTACACCATGATGGGCTGCAGACCAGCTCCGCAGGCAAGGGGCATTTACCTGTGGGACAAACTGAGGTTGCGCCTACGGGTGGCAAAAAAAAAAAGAGAGCTGCCAGTGGCCCTGGGTAGAGGCAGCTGGCAGCCCAGGAGCAGTGGCAGCGGTGTTCTGTGTTTATATGTTGTTAACAAAAAGTTATAAAAACTAAAAAAAAAAAAAAAAAAACAGGAGCGCCGACCCTGCATCCCACACATCAGACCGGCCCACCAGGAAATCTCCAGACTCCTGATTAGGCACTCTGGGCCTGATTTTAATGCTCTCATGACAAATTCCTTCATTTCTCACAATTTCAGTCATGGCATCAACGCACGAGGAGGAAGAGATCACTTGCCTCTTGGCAAAAAAAAAAGAAAAAGAAAAGGCCATTAAACCAGATCAGGGATGAAGAAGGGGAATTTAATACATTGGTGTTGCATACAAAACAGTCCGTCGCTGGTGTAGTGAACTAGGCCTCAGGTCAAATCTGGCCTTGAGGGGCCTTCCTGGAACAAGAACTGTATTTCATTGATTTGAGTCCAGAAACACAAATCAAGTCCATCCAGAAGACTTTTTAAGTGTCCTGCACTGATCAATTGAAAGAACACTCTCTTTTCTATTATCATTACTATTTTACAAATGTTTGATAATCAAAGTGTGTTAGTTCAAAACCATTTTTAGATGTTGAAGTGAACTACTCATTTTTAAATCAACTGTGAAACAGTATTAGTGATTTTAATCCTCATTCAAAGTAGAAATCAGGTTAATGATGCATTGTCTGATTTTCTGTCTTCAATGAGCAAGTTGTGTAAGTTGGTCAAAGGTCAAGTCTCGGTCAACTGCAAGTTTACTGAAAAAGAAATGTCATGTTTAACTTTTACAGCAAGATACTAGAGAATTGACTCCACGAAGTCTGAGTTCTTCATAATATCTTCTGTCTGTTCTTAAACAATCTTAATCTTTTTCTTTGACTCTTAATAACCTCTTACATCACAAAACACACCTCTGTTTTGGTCCATCGACCAATCAGAAAGTTCTCAAATGAACCGGAAGTGAGCTCTTTTAAAAGGTGCAACACTTCCTAGTTCACGGAGACAGTAGTTCTGCGGTTCTGAGAGCAGTTCCAGAGTTCAGAATGCTGGAATTCAGGATGCTGGAGGAAGTTCTGAAGTTCTGAGGTTCTGAGAAGTTCTGAGTAGTTCTGGGAAGAACGCTCAGGAGAACGCTGAGAGAATGCTGTGAGTTGGTTCCGAGAGCAGCAGAGTTCAGAATGCTCAGGACATCTGCGACTAAGCTGAACAAGAGAAGTTCAGAGGAATTATGAAGAAGTCTGTTCAGGATGATCTCACGACTCCGAACGGTTCCCTACTATCCTTACGGAGACGCTGAAAAGTGGCTTGAAGTGGAACTTTACGCCGGAACTGACATATCTTCAGAAAGGTAAAAAGTCGATCTTCAACCGCAAAGCGTACCGTTGGGTTAAGCTGGTCCAAAGGAGCGTGTTGTTCTGGTTATAACAGACAAATTCCCTCACCCATCTCTCTCAAGATAAACTTCATTTTCCATCTTTAAACTCTTCTATTCTGCTAGCAAATCATTCCAGATATTTTCAGAAATGTCTGTTGTGAAGCTTGAAGCAACGGAAAATCATGGCCGGATGATTTTCCTGTTTGTAAAGCTGATTGTTTTAACCTGTTGTTGTTGAAATCATTTGCCAAATTAATGTAAATGTGTGATGTTAAATTTTGATTCTGTAAATAAATGACCACGTTCATTTTGATGGGTCAAAGAAAATTAACGTCTCATGTTACATTTTTAATAATTCAATGCACGACATTATTCAGTCCAGAAAAATGAAATAATCCGTTTAATTTATGAATATATACAGCATATGTTCATCTACACTGGGCATTGTGCGACACTGGGCACGCGTACAGTGGGGAGGGGGCTCTTCTCAAAGTTTTCTTCTGTTTGCTCATGAAAATAAAGAATATTGAGATGGGCATGTAACAGAATTGTTTAGCTGACTAAAATAATTTGCCACTTCAATTGTTTTAAGGTCTCTCTCATGGATATTTTCTGATTGTTTTTCTTTATATTTATGAAATCATCAGCGGGCCAGACTTAAGTCACCCGCAGGCTAGAAGTGGCCCGCAGGCCACAAATTAAATAACCTGGTGTACATTATTTGCTTACTTGTATTCAAACAATTTATTTCTTCTCTTCACTGAGGTAATTGGTTCAGACGTAAAACAGTAATTCCTCAGCTGACAGATGTCCCATAAGTGCTACAAAAACTTCCATTTAGCCACAGGTTGGAACTACAAGCTGAACCAGAGTTCACCATTTACAACTGCCTGCTTTCACAAGTCCTCTAAACTTGATCTTTAGACAACTGTCCCATTTGTTCAGTTCCGCATTTGAGCAAGAAAATAAAAAATAACTGGTACTCTTTAGTTTTTACAGTTTTTTTTACAGTTTAAAGCTGTGCCATTAATATTTTTAACTATCAGCTAGCGATCCACGGCGCTTTGAGCCCAGTCAGTTTCTCCATTACTGACTGTGTTCACCAGTTGTGATCCAGTCACAATCTGTTGTCATCTAAATTTAAAACATTTAACTTAAAAGTCTGAGAATTCCTTGAAGGAATAACCAAACAGATAAAGTGTAATCAGTTAGTGCTTTGAGCCTACGTTGGGAATGAGTCTCAGCTACCACAACAATAAGTTCATGTTCATTTATAGGCTTTAATATTTCAATACTTCTGTGTACGTAACAATCTGTAAAACAAATATCACTTTTCTTAAAGTTTTTTGAAAGGACTAATTTGGTTAGTGAGACCCATTATTCTTCCTGCAGTAGGCTACATTAGCTGCTAATGTTTTACATTTTTCCTCGCTGCAGTGTGACTCTAAATTGTGTTACAGCTCGGCTGATGCGGCAGACTTTTTTTTTTTTTCCTCTTGATCGCTTTTTCTTCACCACTTTTCCTTTCTCTCTTTCACACTGTCAGACAAATTGAGGGATTATTAATTAGGCATTTTTAACACTCAGTAAACAAAACATTAGGCCCTGTTAGAAATACAATCTCAATTCGCAGCGGGGGGTTCCCAACACACACACACACGCAGACACACACGCACACATGCATGAATGTGCAAACGGCATCCAACGACATGCCCCTCCCCATCCATCCCCTTGTACAATCGCATCATGCCCTTCGCCCTCTCTTGCAGCGCGGAGATGACAGCAGGCATAATCTGAAAAGAAAACAATCAAAGTAATGTAGCCTAATTATACGTTTACTTTTTCACTCCATCTACCACTCATGTAAATATGTGCAGGAGAGAGAAACAGCGAGACAGAGAGATGGAAATATAAGAGGTAGGGGAGCAAAACAGGCAGTCATTGGAAAATGCTTCGTTTTTCCAGACAGGGACAACAATTAACTTCATTTCAGCCTGTCCTTACATATGAGGTGTGTGTGTGTTTTCTGGACGAGCGACCCTTATCTAAAAGGGGCACATTTCTTTGATAATCCCATGCACAAAAAATAGACTTTGCACTTGAATGATTAACTTTACAGCACGTTGTTTAAGAAGGTTTTTACAGGGACTTTTTTCTGAATCTGTTGGATTCCATTGTGTATTTTAGCCTGCGTGTGCATAATTTATATGACATTTACGCACTAGAATAGTGTATGTTAAAATCACCGCAGCCATTTAATGATGAGATGAACTTAATAAAAACAACTCCACTGTTTGCAAATGTCAGCTAACGATTACTGCAAATACTGTTCAGGACGAGGTGCAGGAATCTAAAATGTTTATTGTAATTACAAATATTTTAAGCACGAAATGAGCAAAAGACAGTGCACAGGTCAAAATATGGCATTTATCTGAAGCTTGTTAAGGTTGTTATAGGAGTAGGAGTACACTATATATACCATTATGTACCAGTCATTTAACATTCTACCCCCCCCCCCCCAACACAGTGTTTCACTTTAACACTGTTCTTTAGGAGAAAATATTTCTTTCACATGAAGCAAAACAAAAATCATTCACTAAAGAGTCACTATCTTGAATAAAGTGGTGCCAAAAATACGAAATACTAAAAAAAGGGGTGATTACTGAATTCAAAAATGTTCAAGACAAAAAAAATTTGAGCCAAATAGAAGTGAGGTGGTAACAAAAAGCCCAATGCAGAAGTGAAAACATTTTTTCCTCACCTTGCAGATACATGTGTTGACCCAAACTTTCCAGCCTGCCTGTTTCTCTCCATCAACCTTCGGACATCTGAAGCATCACGGTCAAGGATTCATTTTCTTTTTTTTTTTCATTTAGCCTTTATTTATACAGGTAGTCTCATTGAGCCACGAGAACTCATTTTCAAGAGAGACCTGTTTAGGGAGCAGATTGATTCATTACAGACATGGAAATCACGACTGGAAATTTTTAAGATACGTCACTGTAAAGAAAAGTTTTAAGACTTCTTGCAACTACAGTTTTGCAAATATAGTTATTTAAATCCCATGGTGGGACAGACTGGAAGGAGGGAATGTATGTATGCATGTATGTATGTATGCATGTATGTATGTATATATGTATGTATGTATGTATGTATGTATGTATGTATGTATGTATGTATGTATATATGTATGTATATATGTATGTATGTATGTATATATGTATGTATGTATGTATGTATGTATGTGTGTATGTATGTATGTAT